CCTTTCAGCTTTTCGATGGGATTGACCTATCAAAAATGAGTGTTTCAATGACGATGAATGGAGCCGTGATCCCAGTTCTTGCCATGTACATTGTCGCTGCTGAAGAGGCAGTAAGTATAGCATCCAAGCTATCCGCTTACTTTGCTAATCCTGAATTTCATAGGGTGTAGCACGGAAATATCTCAAAGGAACTATCCAAAACGACATACTCAAAGAGTTTATGGTGCGTAACACATATATCTATCCACCAGAGCCGTCCATGCGTATTATTGGTGAGCGCTTTTAGATTTATGACCTCAATTATAGAGAGTGCTTCATAAATATGATTCAGGCGATATTTTTGCGTTCAGCAGCAAAGAGATGCCTAGATGGAATTGTATCTCAATTTCTGGTTATCATATGCAGGAAGCTGGTGCTGATGCGGCTCTGGAGATGGCTTTCACAATCGCCGACGGTCTACAATACTGTCAAACTGGCATTGAAGCTGGTCTGAGTATTGACTCATTTGCGCCACGACTTAGCTTTTTTTGGGGTATTGGCATGAATTTCTACATGGTAAGGATTTCCTGGAGAATTGAAAAACTGATAGAGGCTTCATTGAAAAATTTTTTCCAGGAGATTGCAAAAATGCGAGCAGCACGGCGATTATGGGCTGAACTTATGCAGGAACGATTCAAACCAAAGAAGAAGAAATCGCTTCTACTTCGCACTCATTCACAGACTAGTGGATGGTCTCTCACAGAACAGGCCAGTTCACACATTGTGTACATTGTCCATTGTATACAATTGTTCGTTACAGGATCCATACAACAATATCATTAGAACAACTATCGAAGCCATGGCTGCCGTATTCGGTGGGACACAGTCTCTGCACACAAACTCCTACGATGAAGCGATTGCATTACCCTCAAAGACTTCAGCGCACATTGCAAGAAACACGCAAATTATTCTTCAGGAGGAGAGTGGTATTTGCAAAGTATGCGCGTAATTATAGCAGTTTTCACAAAATGGCTA